TCCTCCTCACCTTGTACGTGTGCCTGGAGAGCTGGCTACCAGGGTGTGAAATGACTAGCATCAAGGCAGGCTCTAAACACCTAACACCCAGGGTGTCCAGGAGATTTGGGAGAGCAGATGGGAGTCCCTCATCCGCCAGGGACCATGGGATGGCCGCTGACGTGGTACTCTGGCTGCATGTCTTGGGTTTGTGTGGCAATCCCCCTGCCCTCCTCACAGCCAGCACAAAAATGATGGACCAACCATGGGAATAAAATGCACGTCATTTTGCAGCGAGGTCCGAGTTAGCTTTTAACCACCGCATCTTATTTTCGGTGGAAAATATGACAGAAATAGCCTGGATTTCCAATTTACCTGTGGTGGTAAAAAAAAAAACCTCCAACAGCAGCATCACCAAAAATCTTTAAATAGAACATTTTGGAGATGCATGAAAAGAAGCTCAGAAATTCATCCTGCGGGAGGCTAATAGTCCCGGAGCGCACAAGATTAACTTCCTAGGCAGCCAACACCCCGCAATACTGTTTTTCAAGGCAGGGACTGAGCAAGGGCAAGCTGCAGGGCATGGACTAGCCTATGGCAGTGGGAAGGTGGAGGTCCATCGCCTCGGGAGAGGCCCGCCTGCACCCCTGGGGAGCCAGACAATGCCTTCATTTTGAGTAGAAAAAATAATATTAAGAATCTCGTCCACGTATCTAAGGGGACATCTCCAGAATATTTTTTCTGTGGGTGCTGCTCATCCGAAAATCCCTGTGCCCAGCTCTGCAAATTCAGCCAAAGCACCGTGATAGCCCGGGGGGTCGCGTTTGCCTTGCAGCCTTTGGAGGAGGGGTGCGGCAAGCAGAGACCTGTAGCTGCACCTGAAGTTTCTGTTTTTAATAAACTCAACAAATGGTTCCCCTCTGCACGGTCTGTCTCTCTGCCATCTTTAAATATTTATGTCAAGGTATCTATGGTGATGGGTCAGGTTATATAATGAGGAGGAGGATGGGGGGGCCGTGGGGAAGGACAGCATCAGCTCCCACCAGAACTATGGCAGAGGGAGAGCAAACACAAGCAGGTTTCCCCATCCAGTGCAGATGCTCCCTCTTCTCAGCTCAGGCTCTGCTGCTCCTGAGCCCAGAAAGTGAACGTTCATTTTTCTCAGGGCATCAGAGAGGGCCGAGCCGCAGCTGGGCTTAGCTGTGCTTTGCGAGATGCCATGTGAGAGAGCAAGAGCCCAGCCCATCGATGCAGAGAGCTTCTATTGTATAATCAATGTATAATTCATTAGTAGGTGAATAAAGACTGGAATAGCTTATTGCTGATGTAACGGGGCTAAAAAGAAAGCGAGCACGTCCGTGAGCAAGCTGGTGCACACGGGAGTTAAAGAATAGCAGTTAGTGGTGCTGAGGGGAGAGAGGGGGGATTTTGTCTTGGGATAACATAAACAACCCAGCTAGCCGGCTGCCAGCGGCTCCAGGGAGAGCAATACAGGGATATGCATCTTCCTGGCAAAAATGCTGGGAAGGGCCTTTCCTTTTTGCTTGCTGGAGTCCAAGGGAATAGCACCTGGTAGACAGGAGGGTGTTAGTTGTGGGTGGGCACCCCTGGGCTCGGCTGAATGTATTTTTCCCAAGACGTGCTGATTCCTCACAAGCTGTATCTCTTCCAGATAAAGAGATGGGTTTTTTTTTCCTCACAACCCTCCTGGCAGGGGCAGATATGCAGATTGCCTCCAGGCATTAATTTGTTTGACGGACCCCCAAAATGCTGGGTGACTAAAAATAGGACTGGATTTGTGCTGGGGGTGAGAGGGACGGCACGGTGGGGAGTGGAGCAGCCTCACTGGCAGGCCTGCAACTGGTCATGGGTTTGGCAGCTACGGCCAAAAGCTGCAAAACACGCACCATGTGTGTTTTTCCAAAACAGCCTCCGAGGCTGCTCTGGGGCTCCCCCTTCTCACTCCTGCGCTCTCCCCCGCCGTCCCACCCCGTGCTGCTTCTCCCAGCGGACAGGGTTGACGTGCGCTGCCGGTTGCTCAGCCTCCCAGAAGAGGAACTACACAGTTAAGAAAAATATCCCTTTTTACCCCAATATAATATTTTACTAAAAGAGAGAACTGCAACGACAATTCATGTGAAAGTTTCTGGGCCTGTGTGATCCGACCGTGTATTCAAAGCAGCTTCTGACCTTACCCGCCTTCAGCTGTGCTGGTGGAGATCTCCTGCGTGGAGCATCTACCACCTCTGGCTGCATTTCTAGAGGAGAATTATAGCCAGCTGCTTTTGCAAACCCATTGCTTCTGCACCTGGTTGAAAAAAATATGTCTATCAACTATTTCTTCAAAAAATATTTCCTATGTCTGCAGCTCAGAAACGCAGCTTTACCTTGGCAGGAGATGGCTTCCTTACCACCCCAGTGCTGCAAAGGTCCACCCAAATTTGCCAACTTAGAAGGCTTCAGAAGTACTTGCTCAGCAGTATCTCCTTTAGGAGCTTGCTGCAGGCATCAACCAGAGTTGCACAGTAAAGGGGCTGTTGCATGAGGAAGTTATATTTTGACGGCAGTGGGAACTGGCAGACACACAGTCAATAGGGCAGGAAATAGCAAAACATTTTGGAGCCAAGCCAGCACACCACAAGGCTGAAAGATTCCCACTCTCCTCACCACTGAATCCCTCTAGAGAGTCAGTAAATTGCTTAACCTGTGCTTTTCACAAGTGCTTTGAGCTCCTCAGGTTTTTTTCTGGGTACTGAAAAACGTGATTTGCAGAAGCCCTGAGCATCCTCAGCTGCTGTGCGAAGCTGCGCCCTGCTCACCTGCAGTTCTGCATGAGAAGTACGTTGAAAAAGTGGCATCTGCGGCCCTCAGAGCAGGCACTGGGAAAGCTCCCCTGACTCGTAGGCAAGTGTGGTCAGGCCACCCACAGGCATGCGGTGAGCCCCACGTAAAGCCTCAGGGGAAATTAATGCTCATGCTGGCAGAACAGGACCTGAGCGGTGCGTGGGCAACAAAGGATGGAGAGCAGCAGAAAAGGCTTCTTGCTGCTGCCATGGGCTGATGCTCCCCAGCCCTGTAGGTAATCACCTGGCCTTAGGTTGCTCCCTCTTCCCGTGTCCTCAGATGGAGCTGGGGGTTTGTCTAAAATAAAAGGAAAAGGGTAACGCATAAGCGTACCCACAGGGAGACCAAACTGCAATTGCCCACATGACCTTAGCAGAACTAATTGATAATTGCTGGAGCTTCAGTGACAATTAATTGGAGCCAATTCACAATTAAATATTTAACTTGGCACCTTTGCTCTCTTTTTCATTTTTTTTTCCTGTTGTCTGTGCCTACATAAATAGGGATTTCTTTACTGCCAGAGTTTGAGTGTTGACATGCTTATAACAGCCAGCTTCTGCTTGTGCAAGCCCCGGGAAGGCTCAGAGGGTCTGCAGGTGTTTCCTAGCCTGGCTGCTGGCTTTGCATCCCCACCGCTCAACTCCATGCTCTTATCCCGACAAAATCTCTCTCTTGCTCTTCTCAACACCGGGTAAATCTCAGCAGCACTTACAAATAGGTTCCTGGGGTTTTGCTCTGGTTGCACAAAAGCTGTAATTTGCCCATAGCGAGCAGCAAATTAGGGACTGGTAAGTGCAAGCACATTGACTGCAGGACAGGGAATTTTTGTTGGCTCAGGTGTAAAAAAAAAAAACCCGCTTGACACCTGCCCGCCTTGCAGCTTCCATCCAGCCATCCCCGGGTGCTGCCATTTCTACGGCTGCAAACAAAATGGCAATGCTGCACTTTTCTGCAACAGGTTTCTAAAAACTGAGGGGTCAAAGGTATCTGCTTTCCTGCTCCTGAAAATGACAGTGGGATGCCATTGCAGGGCAGCAGGAGCCCCTCCTGCCACAAACAGCACAAGCTGTGGGCACTGCTCTGCCACCTGCTCGTTAAAGGTGCTGCTCCTTGCAGGGGAACTCCAGCAGTGGGTGCAATGGGAATAAAGATCAAGAGGTGGCCAGCGCGTAGTTTGCTTTTTTTATTATAGTTTGTTGGAGTATTTTGTACCAAAAAAATTACCTAAACCCCATGGTTGGCTATCAGAGAACAAAAGGGAACTTCCAGCTCCCTGGGACAAGAAATTGCACGCTTCCAGTCTGCTGCTTATTGGGAAGAAGAAATGACGACTGTCCAGGCGCATCCCTTGTGAGATGGTTTGGTGCAGGTCATGTTCTCATCCCTGTTGCAAGCAGCAGAAATCATTACAGAGGTGTGAAAACAGCAGCTACGCACATGCACACCTATATGACCGGTGCTGGAAACGTGCCTGCTTCTTCTGATGAAATTTCAGTGATCACAAGTGATTCAAGGAAATGAGAGCTAGGGGAGGGGGATATGATAGCCTTTCAGGTTTCTTTATCATATATGTGCTACTCCTGTCCGTAATCATCCCTTTACAGTAAAAATTGACCCGGGAAGGAGGAGCACCTAAAGCTTTAGCAGTCCTGGTGGTGAAGCTTTAACAGAGATCTTTTCTACTAGTTGATGAGGCTTAAGCAGGTAACTCACACCCATAACATAGACTCCACTGATTTGCTCAATCTCCAGTGTTTTTTAATATGGCAAAACATCATCAGTTGTCCAGCGAACACAGAGCGGTGGGCAAGACCTGACTACCTAGTGTTTAAAAAAGTGAAACTGTAGAGATCTATTTCATACAAATACTCCAGTCTTTATTGCTTGAACGTGTCCTTAAGCTTTTTTCCTGCCCCTGCTTGCATTAATCCTTGTGAGGTACCTGCCTGCTGCCCCAGCAGCTGGCTGAGTATAGGATGAGGCTGATGAGTGGCTCCTTTTCCTCCGAAGGACCAATGCCATCCTCTCCCTGGATGAGGGAGCACCAGCTGCCCAGGGAATATCTCTTCCCAGCACTGAAAGAATTACTGAGGGCTCTCCATGACGCAAACCCCTGAGCAATGCAGGCAGCCTCATGCACAGCAGAAAAAGAGAAGGAATGATGGCCTTTTGCAAGAAATTCGTCTTTATTGAAGCAACCATGAGTCACAGGAGCTGCCAGCTGGCCTGAGGAATAACAATAGCAGTGGCCTGGACAATAGCAGCTGGAGCTCACAAGGGAGATTGTCTCTCTCCAGAGAACGATATACTTATTAGTGCTTATATACATATAAGTGAATCTTTCCACACTGCTAGAAAGTGGGTGTGTTGGCAAGTGCGTATCATCACTAAATTGCTGCTAGACCGAGGCATGTTGGTGGCTGCCAGGAGGTAGCTCGAGTGATACTCTGGAGCAATTTGAACTTGATTCTGTTTCCAGTGAAGTCAATGGTGAAGCTCCACTGGTTCCAAGGGAGTGGGATGAGGAGCGATAGCCCTCCCCTCGCCCCCAACACAATTCTTTCCAATGCAAGATGTCTGCAGCCATGTTAAAATGCTAACCGGGTGCTGTAGGCTGTACTGCTGTTCTGGTATGTGTAGCAGCCCCTGCCTGAGGGCCAGGACCTGTCCTGAACATCAGCACGGGGTTTCCACGTTTATCTCAATGAACAATTGCTACTTACTGTTTTTCATGGCTAAAAGCCACAACGAAGGCGAGGGGGGAAAGCTGTTGTTGGTTCAACAGACATTTCACATAGCCATATAAGTTTGCAGCAGGTTTTCCAGCAGGTGCTAAATCTATTGCAATGATGGGTTTCAGCTCAGAAGCGGCTCTGCCTCCTTGCAATGAGGGCAAAGCACACCAGGGAGCCATCATTTAAGCTAGACTGATTCAGTTGATTGAAGCTTTTAAAATTTCTGTTTATTATTGATAAGGTGACGTAAAGAGGACGTGGAGTTGGACATTGTATTGTTTGACTTGGCTGGAGATCAGTCCTGTTCTCTTACAGATTTAAACTTCAGTCCTGCGTGTACGTGTAATATCAAAGTCCTTTTGTATTGCACAGCAGTGCGGTGGGTTAGTGAAGCCAGATAAACACAGAGCTAAGGCTGGAAGTTGAACAAGCCCCTGTGAAATCAGTGTGGCATCAAGCTCTAGGAGGTTGACTAAATCCTAAGAATTAAAAAATAATGGTGTATTGCATTAGCAAGAAGGAATAACAGAGGGATATGTCTTTATGCTGGTCATTTGTTTCAAATCTCATGCACTGCTTTCTGATTTTTTTTCCTAATCTCTACCAAAAGCTCTGTAAACCTGGCAATATTTGAAAACAGGGGAAAAACAGTCAATGGTCGTTGGATGCCTACATACTCGAGCACGATCAGAAACGTGCCCAAAGTCAATTATTATGAGTGTCCAGGCTAGGAGAGCACGTTTCCCATCAGCAATGACACACTTCGTGTCCATGTATTTGCTGATAGCACAAGATCAGTCCTGGGCTGTGATCCAAAGCCACCTTCCTAGAAATATTGCATCTTTGAGGGTTACAGGGAACTGCTCAGATGACAGCGCAAGAGAAGTTTGGTTTAATGCTGTGATTTTTGCTGGGCTTTTCTCTCCATTTTTGTCCTAAGGGGCTCTTTGTGTCCTGCTTGTGGAGCTACAGCCTGTACGTCCCCCGGCGAGGCGATCTGAATCTCCAAGCCCAGGTGCGTGTCTCAGTCCTTGTCCGTTTTCGGTGAAGGTGTGGGATGACTTGTCCTCAGAGCATCATCTGCTCTGACCAGCTCGGAAATGCACGACAGCTAGTAGTGCAGGAAGGGGAAACGTGTGACACATCCTACTGCATGACCCCACTCAACGCCTTCCCAGGGGATTTTGTGGGTGACTTCAGACATCTTCCTGTGCCAAGAGCTGGCTCTACCTGGTAGGGATGCTCGGGCGGCGGGTTTCTACCTCTCTCGCAGGGTGTATTTGCCTTTCCGGTCCAGGTTGCTGCTGAAGTGGATGGAGAACCAGAGGAATGAAGTCAGGATCATCCCATAAACCTAAAAGGAAATAAATGAGATGGGCACACAATTAAATGCCGAACTGATTGTGATGCTCCATCTGTGCAAAAAAGCGATCATAAATGTTGCCTGTTAGTCCACTTGGCACTTCTGAGTTTACCTAACAGGTTGTCACATTTTTCTTAAGAGAGCTGTTTTCCAGTAAAATGGTGAACACCAATTCCAGCATGGGAGAAAAAAAAAAACCCCAACACGTGGTTAAAGCACCTGATTGGAATTAGCACAGTACAGCTCAAACCCAGTCCTAAAAATACCAAGAAATGAGATGAAACCAGGAAATTCAGATTTCAAATTCCTGCCACAAAACATTCCTCTATGCAAACAAACATATCTCTCATAATAATAGCCTTTTGTAAAGATAACATAGGGAGAAAATAAACAAACCTCATGTATCGTTTGGAGTAAAAAACCCAAGAAAACAAAAAAAACCCTAACAAAACCCAAACCCCACCCCATGCACGTGCACGGTTGCGAATGCAGAGGACAGTATACTTACTCTGCATTGTGATATTCTGCCTGGTATATCACACATCAGGATTTACACAGGCAACGCGTCAAAGGTAAGGCTGCTGTGGGAAGGATAACAAGGGCTGTAACAACGTGCTCTTTCCTAAAAGTCTGCCTTAACATGCAAGTGCCTTTGCTTGCAGCTTGATCTGGGGACATGTGTGCATTGTTGGCCGAGGGACAGTGACATCAGAGCAGCTATAGCCCTCATTGCGCACTTCCTTTGCATCCTGCCATCACAATAGTGAACCGTGCAGTGAGATTTCCTCTAGCACACGCTTCAAAGACAGCCGCCTTATCTGGCTATAGCATCAAGCTGTGAAAAAAAGATAGATATATATATATAACAAAAACGCTCCTGCTTTTGCCTGAGTATAGCTGTAGTGAAATTCCTCCTATACCTGAGAAAAATTAGAAAGCCACATCAAATATTCACACATGACTTTACATTTATAGCTCCATGGCTATGCCTGATGGTTTTCCTAATTTACTACTAGCAGTATAAAATACAAAAGTGTTTGTTCCTCTGGGTTTTATTTAGATGGAGAAGAGTCTTCTAACCCATAGTTGTGCCAAGGTGGACACAAGTAGTAAAACAATCTCCACATACACATTCAGTCAGGAAAGGTCGCCCCAGCTGGGGAGCGGCTTGGAGATATCACAGCAGACCAAATCTCCCTTCATGGTGAAGAAACGAGTCTCCTGATGTGTACTCTTTTCTGGCATGCTTCACCACATGTGCAGGGCCCTTGTGTAGGGGTAATTACAGTGATACACCTCTGCCAAGCAGTGGGTGGGCATATGAGCAGGCTTGTTTTAATTAGTGGCACTCTCCAGCTCTGAAGGGACTGTCCCCGTGCAGCCACCAAGCCCCCTCACCGCTGAAGGACACACTCCTCTCACAGCATTTAATTTTTTCTTTTGTCCTCCCCCATATAAGACTCACAAATTCAGTACAGACCCTCTGTACCCAAGCCATCCTCTGAAGATGATCCTACCCCTCCTCTGCAAGATCCTCCTTCAAAGATGATGCCTGGGAGCCCAGGCAACATGCTCTGCTCCTCTCCTTTGCAGCCTGCTCCTTACAAGCCTGTGCTTCACCCACCCACTGCCCGAGATGCACCTTGCCGGGTTCATTACTGGTCATTAATAGGATGAGACCTTCCCTTTCTGCACAGCTTTCCAGCTCCACTGCTGGTCCTCAGTATCTTTCAAGACCTTCCAGCTCTGGCCGCACAAAGTGACTTCCCAGGCTGAGCTGGGAGGAAGCCAGCAAGCGCTGGGCAAGGAGAGGCAGCAAGTTTCCTAAAATACGGAGCTTTTGTTGCATCTCCTTTTCCACAATTGCTGCCGGCTTCCTACCTGATCTGCAAGCCCTGCGCCAGGTGACATGGCCTCTCACTTGCAGGAGAAGACGTGCAGGCAAGCCTGGGTGGATGAAATGCAAATGCTGCTGCAGCCTGCTCCCGCTGCTCCCCGCTCCCAGCTGCCATGCCTAGTTTGGGCACAAAAAACACACAGCGAGCCTATTCCTGCAGGAAAACCCCTCCATCTATCAGCCTGGCCAAGACAGGTCCTGGCCCTTTCCTAATTTCCATGGTGGAGTCCACCACCGCTTGTTTCTCTGCTGCCGGTCTCCAAAATAACCCAAAATCCTAGTTTCTGGGCGCTAATTTAGGATATGCTTTCCCCATTGGAGCCTGCCTCTAGGGGCCAAAATGCGAAGGAACAGACATAGCTACCGTGAAGCCGATGGTGATGCCCAGTAGCATGGAGACAAAGTCCATGTGCTTCTTCAGGAAGTCCTGGATCTCTCGCAGGCAGTCCTGGGAGGAGAGAGACATCCCTTGCAGCACAGCAGCAGCTCGGTGGGGGGCTTCATCCCCCCAGCAGCACTTGCCACAACCCCAGATAGAAAGGGAGGCAAGAAGGGGATGCAACATTGCACAGCTGGGCTGCTCTGTGGGCAGCTCTCCTTTTTTCTACTGCTTGCTGCAGTTTGGGAAGACAAACACCTGCGGTACATTTTCTGTTACTACAATATGCCTACGATTTTCTTGGTGTGATGCGTTTTGGACTGTGGGGGATGTGTGTGAGCACAGGTAAGTGGGGTCATGCACAAGCTTTCTTCTTTCCACCCACTGGAAAATGGAAAGAGGGAAATGAAAAAGTGGAAAAGCAGAGCACACCATAATGCTAAATACGTTCCCCAAAGATACTAATGAACAGCTCAGTTTTGCAAGGTGTCGCAAGCATTAATATACATTAGCCTTAAGCATGCCAGCAGCCCCACAGAAATCCAGGAGGTGTTAGCCAAGAGAGCCGTTTCAACAGTGCAAGAGCATGCCCTCGATGAAGTGATTTGCAGGGTGAGGTAAGAGTGCTCAAAGCCAGAGAGTGAATGTACTGCAGCTACCAAACTGTGGTTCCCCAGGTTGCAAAATTCATCCTCCCACCCACCTCCCCTGGCTCGCCACCAGAGGAAACGCAAACCATTAGCCCGGGGGGAACAGAGTCACCCCCACAGTGCCTGGTTTTGCTCTGCTCTGCCTTCCTGCTCTTTGAGCCAAGTTTGACCCTGCTTCGAGATGTGACGGGCTGCGCATCACGGCGTCCTGTTAGTGCTTGACATCTTCACCTAACAACAATGTTTTCGTATAGCTGTAGCAACATGGTTTTGTTTTTCCTAGGGACAACATACATATTGATGCTAGCAGCTTTAGCTGCTTCAGCTGATTTGGCTACTCCTGTGGAAGAAAAATAATCATACAATAGATTTGCTCAGAGAGTATGAAGTCTACATTGCAGCTTCAGCACAGAGGCAGTCTAATACTGGTGGCTTCTCCATCAACCTCACTGAGATGCTGCAAAGAGGAGGAATGAAGTGTACTTGATGAAGCTACTGCTGGGCATCATCATCCTGCTTCATAAGTCTCTCATTTAAATACCTATTTAATGCCCTGGGAAAAAGGAATTAACAGCAAATTCCACATTTGCTGTTAGTGGGACACTTTTTAAGCCTCAGAAACTAGTGTCACATGGAAAAGTCCAACAGTTTTTTTGAGCTCAGACATATGCCCGTGATATGATATTAGTATGATATCTCATACTCTCTGCAGAGGTAGGAGATGAGAAGGAAGCTGGAGGGAAATGACAGGCTGCAAACACAAGCATTCCGAAGGCTTTCTAGAGCTGTGAAGGAAACCGCACCTGCACATCTGAGACCTGCTGATCCACTGGGGCTCCTCCAGTGGGTGAGACACCTCCTTATTGAGACAACAAAACCCCAACAAAACAAACCCCAATCCATAGCAACACCAAACCATGAAAAAGCCACAATTCTCATTAACACTTAAACACCAGTGAGGTTTTAACAGTTAGCGAGTAGCAGCACAACCCCACTGTGGGGTGGAAGAAACCTTTCCCTTACCTGTCCCGCATCGCGCACTTGGCCAGATGGGCACGTCTTGTGCTCGACGTTGGCCGTGTCCCCAAATGGAGAGCGCTTCCCGCAGCACAGGAACTGGAAGAGAGGGAGAGGTCTGCCAGCTGCCTGCTGGGCTCTCTCCTCGCCACCAACTGCTGTGGCAGGAGATGTCAGCGATGGGCCACCCTTCCTCCCTTGCTGCCCCAGGCAGGGCTATACAACCAGGGTTGCAAGGAGCGAAGCATGTAGGTATGCAATCAACAACTGTAGCAATGGAGGTTAAATTCAGAGGAGGTGGATGGATCTGGCCCCAAACTTTTCTGTGCTCCTCCAGGACTGCTGCCTGGGGCTGGGGCCAAGCCCTCCCTCCATGGTCACACCAGCTCTCACAGTGGCTGCTCTGGAAAACCCAGGGATGCACAGACTTATGTTTCCAGTGTTTGCTATGGGCTGGGGGGGGGTCCCCAGCAACACCCACTGGGGAGCTGGTTTCCTATAGCCAGGGTGAACTGGCCAGCTTGTGGGCTCTCTCCTCGCCACCAACTGCTGTGGCAGGAGATGTCAGCGATGGGCCACCCTTCCTCCCTTGCTGCCCCAGGCAGGGCTATACAACCAGGGTTGCAAGGAGCGAAGCATGTAGGTATGCAATCAACAACTGTAGCAATGGAGGTTAAATTCAGAGGAGGATCTGGGATCTGGCCCCAAACTTTTCTGTGCTCCTCCAGGACTGCTGCCTGGGGCAAGCCCTCCCCCTCCATGGTCACACCAGCTCTCACAGTGGCTGGTCTGGCAAGGAGGGGACCAGCTCTCACAGTGGCTGCTCTGGAAAACCCAGGGATGCACAGACTTATGTTTCCAGTGTTTGCTATGGGCTGGGGGGGGGTCCCCAGCAACACCCACTGGGGAGCTGGTTTCCTATAGCCAGGGTGAACTGGCCAGCTTGGAGCTCTAGCAGAAGGGGAAAAAAAAAAAATAAAAGGAGTAGAAGGACTGTTTCTCCATCAATTAAAGTTGCTAAAATAAGCAACTGATGAAGCTGGGTATTGTGTCTGGTTCTCCTTGCCAAAGGGGACTCTGGGTGTGCTGCTCCACAGCCCTGCAGAGCAAGCACCACCACGCCTGGTCATGGCTCTGAGGGCCACCACCATTGTTGCAATGAGAAACATTTGCCCTTTTCTGTGTTTTGAGAAGCACAGATGAAAACAGCTTTGGAAAGCTTTGAAGATCTCACACCAGAGTGATGCTCAGGTAGGTGGCCCTTTCCTCCTGTTGATAACCCAGGTTGGTCAAACCTGGGAAAGGAAGAATAGGAAGGGAGGAGCAGACTTCACAGCAGGCTGGAGGACTCAGTTCCCGAGGGAAAACGGCATTGCAGCATCCACAAGGCAGAGCACAGGCATCAGTCCCAGCCTGCTGAAACTATTGGGAAGATACCCCAGGACAAGGTTTTCCGCTAAGGCTAAAAGACAACTTACTGCTTCGTGGATGGCAGTCAGCTCGTGCCTCCTGAAGCTGGAGGCGTTCCTCCTCACCTCCTCGTACACAAGATCGTACACATCCATCATGCTGTCTTCCACCTGTGATGAAAGCAGATGTGTACATGGAAAACACTGACTGCAGTCATCTCTGGAGGGAAATATGCTCCTCTCACATCCCCCCAGAAGGTCTCCCAGGTATAGCAAGACAAGTAGTGCAGCTATTAAATGACCACCATGTCGCACCAGCAGCTGGTGTATGACCCACCACGCACCGAGGGGCACCTACAGCATGGCAAGTCTCATGAGAGAGGCTGCGATGCTGCAGGTGTACCACCTTCTGCTATGCATGGACCCTTTGGCATCACGTCAGCGTCTTACCAGCTGATGGCTGGAGCTTTTGGCCAGTTTTGGATTTAGGGTCAGAGAAGAACTCTGGTGCCTGTGACCAGTGCGCTTCCAAGTCCCTCTGCCAGGCAGGGATGACACCGTCTCCCTGTTCTGATGGGTGACTGTGAAGACAGGCATACATGACTGTGAGATGCTAAAATGAAAAGGTGAGAGGACCTTAGATGGCTGGTGTTATCCCAGTGATGGAGGAGTTCCTCCAAATAGAGCCAAAAAAATAACAGAGTGATTCAGTGGTGAATCAGACGCTAAATATTTACCAAATGTGTGAGAACTTGCAGCTTGGCAGATCCCAGCCAACTCCCGTTTGGGTTTCAGAGGGAAAAAATATGACAATTGCCTTCAGCACCTGGAGTCAAAACCTTATTTCTTCCTTTCGTTTTCCTTCACTTCCTCACCAGCATTGATCCGAGAGGGCCTGCAGGCACCGTTTGGCTTTCAAGAGGGAAAATCGATGGGCAAGACAGACGGAGAGGGTGGCTGCGCAGGGAGGGACGGGTGGTCCGGGAGCAGAGCCATCTCTCAGTGAGGCTTTTCAGCTCAGTCTTAAGGGGCTGTGCTTGGAAATTACTCTAGGGGAAAAAAACCCCACGCCGTGTGCTTGGGGGTGAAACCAGGGTCATTTGAGGTGATTACAGCCATCACTGCAATATTGCTCTACCCCGCCTGGCTGTCCAAAATGCAAGCAACTAATGGAGGTTGATAACCAGGGAGGGGAGAGAGGGAGGTTGAGAAGATTACTTGTATCCAACTCAGCTCCGTGCCACCAGGAATAGAGTTTAAAGGCTCACATCGGAAGATTTTCCACAGCTATCAACATGGCATAGAAGTGGAGGGACTTGGGGGTTTCTCTGCGTTTATCTGCAGCAAAGCTGCTGTCCCCCCAGGATGTTCCATCGCCTGTCATGGAGCAATCAGTAGGTGAGGCAGGAGCAACCCAGCTTTAATGAGAGAGGTCCGATGATGGACAGGGCACAGATATTCTGAGCCAAGGAAAAAATCCACTGTAGCAAGGTGCGCGATGCTGAGCTGCCCCACACAGGTGAGGAGGAAGGATGCTCATTTTGTCACCCCCATGTATCAGAGTGCATCGAGTGGGATGGGCACAGCAGTAAGACAAGATCTCTAGCAGATTTGTGCACCATCCTTCCCCTGAACAAACCTTAAACCCCAATAAAAAGGAAAACATCCAAGCTTTTCTAACTTCTTGTGGGCCATGAAATAGCTTTCCAGCAGCAGCAATTAAGTAAATGAATTAAATAAAAAAAGTGTCCATTTCCACTGAAGAATTGGATTAAGAATAATGAAAAAAGAATAATCTTTTGACCTCCTCTTGCGGTCTCGTGTTGCTGAGGAAGGAAGGAAGAACAGAGCAACCGGCTTCTTAAACCAAGAGATTATTACCTTTTGAATATCCCAACCCCCATCTAAGATGAAGGAATAAAAACTATTTTGTGTTGTGACAACATATATATGGATCTTGGTAAGGTAATGGTTCTGCATGTGCTATTTTTGCCTTTTCATATTTATCATTAGGCTCAGGATGCTGAGCTTCCCTCCAAAAGGCCTAAATTTTGATGATTTAAAAAAAAAATAAAAAAGGGGTTCAAGCAAGTTGCTAGGTTCAAGCTAGGGTTCAAGTGTTGAAAACAATCCAGAAGTTTAACATTAAAGTTCTACTGAACACTGGGCCAGGAAATGCTGGGACAGGTAGTTTTAAGCCCTCTGCCTTGCCTGGGCACATTCCCTCAAACCTCACAAAAACTGGCAAAAATGCTCCTGTGATCTGGCTGCTTACTTTACAACTGCATTCAACTTAAACCAAGGTAACATGAGACTTTGTCCAGTGACATTTCATCTGCAAAGGCCATCACAGGCTCCCTAGCAGTAGAGCAGGCTCTGACCATGCCACCAGAACCAATTCACTATGCAGGAAAGTCAATGCTCAAGTGTTTTGTCCTGCTAATAAGCCTCAGGGCCCAACTGAGGCTGACATCCTCCTCAGCAGCTTCTCAGGTTGTCATGCTACACTAAGAAACCTGGGAGGAGGGCAGGTGAGCTGCCCAGATGTTGGCAGCTGCTGGCCGCTGCCCATAGCCTGTGGCAGCCGGCCCCCCGGCCAACTCCCTC